ATTCCCAAGAGATGGGGTATGTATAGGTTTTGGTTAATTATTAGATTATGGGTGTTTGTCATTGTTTATGGGGGTAGGTTACAAGTTGTTATTGGTCATAGTCAGAAAAAATGCTAAACAGACTTAAATTCAAAGATATATTTCTTAAGAAAAAAGAGGAGATATGATAAGTAGAAAGGTAGATTATTGAACCTACATAATCTAAAAATGTATTAATCTCTAAATATTTTACATTTGTATGTATTTTACAAATTAATACAAATTTAAGGTTACTTTTGTTAATACTTTATGTATTTATGTATGTTCCTACTCTTGTTTGGGTATTATGTTTATGCAACTCATTTAAAATGTAATGTATAATTTAGAAGTATAGATTAATACTCATCTATAATAGTCAAACTTATAGTCATTTTAGGTATGCTTTCAAGGTTGTACACAGGTATATATAGATATAAAGATGGTTTACAAATGCTTCAAGGACCTTCAGAATATGGTATTTAATATGTTTAATAGCATAAAGATTTTCATGACAATGAGACATGTCTGCTCCTGACAGCACCAATTTGCTTCAAAAGAGGATGATGGGTATCAAAGAAACTACATAGGGAGTTTGTTTTCTTTATGGTAACAGCTAGCTATTTGGAAAAAAAACCTGCCATTGCCTTAGTTGCTGACAGTATACTGTTCAAACTGGATCATCAGAAGGCAAGAAAGGTGACTGTCAAACTTTACCAATACATGGTAGAGGAGTACTTCAAAATTCTCTGTTTCTTAAAATATTAGTCAGATTACTAGGTCTGTAGACTGAAGATGGATACCCTGATGTTACAGATAAACTTTGGAAGACTGTTTAGGGAGTCAGCTGTTTCTGTCATTTCTATTAATTGTGGAAGTTGCTTGCTAAGCACTTCCTGTTTACCCAGGTATTATATCATTTCATGTCCTTACTTGGGCTGATGACTATATAATTACAGTTTCAGTTTTCCCAAATCATGGTAGAAAGTAAATTAGATACAAAACTTTGGACTCCTTGGGAGAGGACACCTAAAAGCATAATTTCTCTAAATTTTATTTAGACAAAAGGGGAAAATGTTGCAGAATTATTCATCCATGCATTCTACTGTGTCTATAAAATAACCTTAAATCTAGGTTTAAGTCTGCTATTGGATGACTGGAATTAACCAAAAATTTCTCAAAGGATTTTGCAGGTAGGCTAGAGAGGGTAAGAATAGACTTAAGGGGAATTTGAGAAGCATTGTCCATGCTGGACATTCCTGAAGAACTTGAAGAGAGGGCCAGCTAATTGCTCCACATTCCCTGGATTCTACAGAACTTTATTTCAATTTCTGACTCCTGAAGTTTTATTATACTAGAATAAACTAGGTAATCTTTTCATCTGTCAGGTACACAGTGGGTAATAGTTCTATTCAGATAGATTGGGCTCCAACCCTGCCTTCAAGAAGCTTAAAATTTAATATAAAACTCAACTGGAATAAGAAACATTCTGAATGGCCACAGAGAGTTTAGCTTTTTTTAAATTTTCTTACTTATAAAAAGAGAGTTTGTATTCCACCAACACCTCCATCAAAGATTGTTTTGAAAATCCAAGAAATGTGAAAGTAAAAATGCCTAATATTGTACCTTGAAAACACTCATATTACATATATTCTTGATGACAGAGTTATAATAATCAGAAAAGGAGAAAAAATATAAAGCAAGTAATAGACCATAAAATTATTTTGGTATGTGTTCATTCCATCTTTTAGTAGCTAACGACTCTAAAGAATCTATCTCAAAACAAAAGTAATTTTCTCTCTAATATTAGTAATTTCATATTTATTACTGTACATGACTCCCAAAAACACAAACTCTATCAAAGATATTTATAAAAGTTTATTAGGGAATATTTTCTAGCCAACAGTTATAGAGGAATGGAAAATGTTAGGCAGACAGAGAGGGGGAGTAAATTCTATGCAAGAAAACAATGCCAATGGATCAGTTAGGCAAGTATGTAGTTGAGATGCTTCTTTATGCTCTTTTAAACACATGGTAGTCTGTTTAAAAGATGTATATAAGACATTATTGGATGATACTAGACTTTGGATATAATTTTTTATTCATTAGAAAAAGTACTTCAACAGAGAGCTACTTAAGAGCTATCAGTCACCAATATCTTCAGAAACTAAGTTAAGGAAGGAATGACGTGTGTGTGTGTGTGTGTGTGTGTGTGTGAGAGAGAGAGAGAGAGAGAGAGAGAGAGAGAGAGAGAGAGAGAGAGGAGAGGGAGGGAGAGAGAGAGAGAGAGAGAGAGAGAGAAAGAGGAGAAAGTGTGTTCTACTGTGTGATTATGTGAGTGAATGTGTGTGTGTTTATGAGTTTTCATCAGAGGTAGAAAGAGTTATAATGCAAAACACTGCATTTACTACATTGATCATCAAATCGCATCATACATATTTTCAATTCATTAAAGGATTATGGGGATTAGTAGCAGAAAATTTGTCTTTAGTTAAAATACCTAATCTTAGAAATAACACTAGCATTCTGCATCTGTATTCTTGAATTAAATTTTACAGTGATTAAATAATAAAACTAAGATGGAAAACATATAGTTTATTTTACATGTTTTATTTAAAAATAATATATTTGTTTATACCAGAGAAAAATCAGTGACTTACTATACAACTGATGGTAATTTCTGAGAAACTTTTAGAATTACATTCTTAAAATGGATTTTCTTTTCAATTTATTAAACTTCATTTACTTTTAAAATTGAAAATTTTTTTTCTAAAACATTTTCTAATTATACTTTCCCTCATTCATCTCTTGTCACCTCCTCCCTAACTTTCTATCCACCCTACTTTCATATACATTCTTTCTTTCTCTTTAGGAAACAACCAGTCCATTAAAAATGCAATCAAATCAGAATAAAACAAAAATCTAGCAACATTTTCCACCAAATCAGAGTTGTTTTCTCCAAATCACAGAATTATTTCAGCTGTCTTACCACAAAAGTAAAGCAGCTAGTGTATTATATATTCAGTGTTGAGAGCAAAATATCAAATGATGGAGAAATATCTGATGATGTGTTCACATATACACATTATAAGAAGATCGGGTATTTCTTCACACCTTATGTTAATACCCATTTTTCATTTCTTCACTGGGACGTATAGGCTCCTTTATATGGCTCTAGCCTAAAACAATTCTTTTCATATCACTAAGATAAGAAAAATAAGCAAATTAAATATATGGTGGTAATTTAAAATAAATGTTTGCTAGACATATACCACCAACCTAGTCTCAGTACTTTGACTAGTTAAGCACAACTAACACTGGCAACTGCCAAAAGATATTCTCTGTCAGAAATGGACAAAAATATTACTTTAGGAGAATCATCATGGCCACTTAGGAGATAATTTGATAAGCACATCCTGTCCTTAGTAAAAGGAACAATATATTAACTTTCCCCACTCTCTCAAAGGCTCAAGGAGTGATTTGTAAGAAGGGGAAAGAAGGATGTAAAAGTTAGAGAAAGATGTGTTTTGAGGGAGAAAATGAGAAGGCTGATATCAGGGCATGAGGTGGTCTTTGCACTCTAGAAGTCACATGGGCTCCTGTTATGCACAGGAGGGAGGGCCTATGACTTCCTTTCACAGAACAGGAAACTTTCATTGGTCTAACATCTTCCCCAGTATTTATGCACTGATAATGTCTAAGGGTGAGGATTCTCCCTTACATAGTGTGTATGCTTCTACTTCTTTCAACTAACCACAATTAAACTTTCTGTAAACAATCCCAATGAAATTCACTGAGCAGGGGAATGCAGAAAATGAATGTAAAGGCATATGCTTGGGAAGGGACAGTGCACTATCAAAGAGTGCAGAGGCACAGGAGAAGATGACAAGATGAGTATTATGCAAATACATACTTACATGCATAGATTGTCAGGGCCTTTTAAAAACTTTCAGGTCTTTTGGTTTCCAGCTTTGTATTTTTATGACTTTCTTGAGCATATGAGTGTGTATGTCTCTGTGTCTATATGTGTTCCTTGTACTTTTGCTTTAGCTCTTTTCTTCTATTTGTTTGTAGTATTATAGTTTATTGTCTTTGTTTCATCTTACTTTATTTTATTATTATTTAGATAACTCTTGGTGTTATAACAAGAGTGTTGTTTCTTACCAAAGAGGTGGAAAGGATCAGGTAGTATTTCTGGGAAAGAAACTATAATCAGTTTAAAAGTTAGTATAAAATGTAAGACAAGGCCTGAGACTTTTGCAGGACCAACTCCAAGCCAGGGACCTCTGTGTGAGTGGATCCAGACTAGGATTTACAGAACAAGGTCAAAGCTTACAACCTAGACCAAAGTAGGCCTGAGGCAATGAACTCCACCTTGGGCTGGAATGGGCCTGAGGCAACAAAGTACACAGTAGTACTCTTTGGCCATTGTGGACCTGAGAAAGCCTGCTTGGTGGGATTGGGAGCAGATCAAGTCCAGGGATATTGGAAGGCCAAGACTGAGCCAGTGACTTGAGCCAGAGCAGACCTGAGACAGTAAACTCCTCTGAAATAGGAGTGTCTCTGAACCAGCTACCTAGGCCAGAGTGGGCCTGAGAAAGCCTGCTCCATGGGATTGGAAGCAGATCAAGTCCAGGGATATTGGAAGACCAAGACTGAGACAGTGACTTGAGCCAGAGCAGACATGAGACAGTAAACTCCTCTGAAATAGGAGTGACACTGAACCAGCTACCTAGGCCAGAGTGGGCCTGAGAAAGCCTGCTCCATGGGAACAGGAGCAAAACCAGTCCAGGGACCTTGGCAGAACAGGACCCAAGCCAGTGACCTGGGACAGAGCAGACCTAAGAAAGCAAACTCCATCACTGAGCAAGTAAGCCAGAGCCAGAGACCATTGGGGTTCCAGACAAGAATATGTGATCTTCAAGGGAGTAGACCTAAACTAGGACCATTGTGGGCCTGGACATGAGTCTAGGACTTCCTAAGAGTTAGGCCTGAGCCAGGTCATCAGCAGGTCTGGTGAATGTGAGACCTCCTAGGGAGTTGGCAGGAACCAGAGAGCTTTGAGAGCGTAGGTGTGAGTCTTGGATTTCAGAGGGAGTAGGCTTCAGGCAGGATTTCTGTGGGTCTGGACGTTTGTCTGGGACATCAAAAGAAAAAAATAGACAGGATCCAGAAAAATCTGCAGGTCTGAGTGTGAGTCTGTGAGCTCTCTGAGGGGGAAAGCCTGAGCCAAGTCCTCTAATGGGTCTGGGCGTACCCAAGCCAGGAGACTCCAAGGAAGTAGACCAGAGCCAGAGACATTTGCAGAACCAAATTCAAGTCAGGGACATCTGCAGGAGCAATCCAGACCAGGATTTACAGAACCAGGTCAAATCTGGTAACCTAGCCTAGAGCAGACCTGAGACAACAAACTTCAAGGGAGTGGAGAAAAGTCCAGGAGTGCTGAGTGACCTCCAGTAACACGGAGTGACCAAGGGATAACTAGAACTGTGGCACTGACTGTACAATGAGGAACAATCATCTGAGCCTGGGATTCACTGGTACCTAGAAGGTTAATCAAAAGCCCCAACCATACCTATTAGAGGAAAAGATGAGTAGAAAAGACAATACACATACAACATCACAAAGAGCAACATGACACCAATAAATCCTAAAAATACTACAACAGGAAGACTTAAATAATCTAATATAGATGAAGCAGAAGATAATGACCTAAAAAATAACTTCAGGAGAATGTTTGAAAGTCTTAAAGAGGAAATAAGGAATTCCTCCAAAGAAATGGAGGAAAAGATAAAAAAAAATTGGAAGACATCAACAAATCCCTTAAAGAAAACTAAGAAAAAACAATCAAACATATAAAAGAAACTATTCAAGACTTGAAAAATGAAATAGAGACAATATATAAAACACAAGCTGAGGGAATTATAGAAGCAGGAATCATGAAATAATGATCAGAAACCACAAATGCAAGCATGAAAAGCAGAATAAAAGAGATGGAAAAGAAAAGCTCAAGCAATGAAATACAATAGATGAAATAGCATCATCCGTTCTATTAATTAATTTTTAAATCTAGTGAAAGCTTAACCCAAAATATCCAGGAAATACGGGACACTATGAAAAGGCCAAACCTAAGAAAAATAGGTATAGGAGATGGAGAGGAAGTTCAACTCAAAAGCACAGAAAATATATTTAACAAAATCATAGAAGTAAACTTTTCCGACCTAAAGCAAGATATGCAAGCCAGAAGATCATGGTCATGCATTGTTAAGGGACCACGGATGCCAGCCAAGACTACTATACCCAGCAAAACTTTCAATCACCATAGAAGAACAAAACAAGATATTCCATGACAAAACCAGATTTAACCAATACCTAGTCACAAACCCATCCCTTCAAAAAAAATAGAAGAAAAACCCCAACCCAAGGAAATAGGTTACATCCAGAAAAACACAGACAATTGATGGTCTCATAGCAGCAAATCCCAAAGAAGGAAAAAAACGCAAACATTGACGTCACCAACAATGAAATCTAAATTAATATGAGATAGCAATCACTGGTCATTATTATCCCTTAATATAAATGGACTCAACTCATCTATAAAAATGCATAGGCTAACAGATTGCATACAAAACCAGAATCCATCCTTCTTCTACATATAATAAATACACCTCAACCTCAAAGACAGATATTGTCTCAGAATAAAGGGTTGGGAAAAAATATTCCAGTCAAATGGACCTAAGAAACAAGTGGGTATAGCTATCCTAATATCTAACAAAATAGACTACAAAATACAATCAATCAAGACAGACAAAGAAGGAAATTTCATATTAGCCACAGGGAAAATCCATCAAGAGGAAATCTTAATACTGAATATCTATGCCCCAAATACAAGGGCATCCTCATATGTAAGAGAAACACTTCTAAAACTTAAATTATACATTATACCCCACACACTAATAGTGGAAGACTTCAATACTCCACTCTCACCACTGGAGAGGTCAGTCAGACAAAAACTGAACAGAGAAATAAGGGATGTAACAGATGCTATGAACTCAAATGGACTTAACAAACATCTATAAAATATTCCATTCAAACATAAAAGGATAGGCCTTCTTCTCAGCACCTATTGGAACCCTCCCAAAAGTTGACCACATACTTGTTAACAAAACAAATGTCAACAAATACAAAAAATAAAATAAAATAACCCTATGCATCAATCAGATCACCATGGTTTAAAACTAGAAGTCAACAGAAATACTCATTCCAGAAAACACATAAACATATGGAAATTAACCAATGCTCACCTTAACCATCAATGGGTCAAGGAAGAAATAAAGGGAAAAAATAAAGACTTTCTAAAATGAAAATGACCACATAACATATTTATGGGACACAATTAAAGCAGTGTTAAGAGGAAGGTTCATCGCACTAAATGCCAACATAAAGAAGCTGGGAAAATCCCACATTAGTGAATTAACAGAACATTTGAAAACTTTAGAACAAAAAGAAGCAAACTCACCTAAGAGAACTAGACAGCAGGACATAACCAAATTATGAGCTGAAATCAAAAAAATAGAAACAAAGAAAACAATACAAAGAATCAATGAGGCAAAGAGTTGGTTCTTTGAGAAAAGCAACAAAATAGGCAAATCTTTATCCAAACTAATCAAAGGCAGAGAGAGAATATCCAAATTAACAAAATCAGAACGAAAAGGGGGACATAACAACAGACATGGAGGAAATTCAGAGAATTATCAGGTCATATTATGAAAACCTGTACTCCACGAAATTGGGAAACTTAAAGGAAATAGACCACATTCTGGAAAAATACCACTTACATAAATTAAGACAAGACCAGATAAGCAAAATAATTAGACCTATAAATGCTAAAGAAATTAAACAGTCATCAAAAGTCTAGCAACCAAAAGAAGCCAAAGACCAAATGGTTTCGGCTCAGAATTTTATAAGATTTTCAAAGAAGAACTAATAACAGTACTCCTCATATTGTTCCAGACAATAGAAACAGAAGGAACATTGCCAAACTTTTTATGAGGTGACAATTACCTTGAAACTCAAATCACAGAAAGAAACTACTAAGAAAGAGAATTACAGACTAATCTCACCCATGAATATTGATGCAAAAATACTAAATAAAATACTGGCAAACAGAATCCAGGAACATATCAGAACCATCATCCACCATGATAAATTGGCTTCCTCCCAGAGATGCAGGGATGGTTCAACATACAAAAATCTGTCAACATAATCTGTTCCTTTTCAGTGAGGACCATCTCAATGTGGCAGGGAGAGCTCATGTATGGGTTAATCCGGCCATGAGCTCTGTAAATTCTTCGGCGCATCTTAGGGGCTTTGTTCACCTGGATGTGCTCAATGACCAGAGAGTCTACATCTAAACCCTTCAGTTCAGCATTGCTCTCTGCATTTTTTAGCATGTGCAACAAAAATTCCGCACTCTTTTTTGGCCAACGACCCTGTGTCCAGCCCCACTGTTTGGCCTGGGCGCACCTACCGACTCCACCATTGTACCGTCGGAATGGCAGACACTGCTTCTTCAAAGTGACATCTTTCAGATACTTGGTGACTTTTCGGATATGCATACCCTTGATGGCCTGGGCCGTTTCACGGGTGTTCTTAAAGTGAACCCGAAGGTTAGATCCTCTCGATTTGCATGATTTTGTAGGGTTTTCTGGGTCAAGAGAGTAGCGAACCATCTTCACGGGTCACCTCTGGCCGCTTACAGGAAGAGCCACAAACACATTAAGTATTTTAGCAGGATACAAGATTAACTAAAAAAAAAAAATCGATACTCTTCCTGTACACTGATAATAAAAGGGCAGTGATAGAAATCAGAGAAACATCACCCTTCACAATAGCCACAAAGAGCATAAAATATCTTGGAGTAACTCTAAACAAAGAAGTGGAAGACTTGTATCATAAGAACTATAAACCTTTAAAGAAAGAAATTAAAGAAGACACTGGAGATTGGAAAGATCTCCCATGCTCTTGGGTAGACAGAATTAACATAGAAAAAATGGCAGTCTAAACAAAAGCAATCTTATAATTCCAGCAAAATTCTTCATAGACCTCAACTTCATACGAAAAAAAAAAAGAACCCAGGATAGTCAAAACAATCCTGTACAATAAAAGAACTTCTGGAGGCATCCCAGTACCTGACTTCAAACTCTACTACAGAACTACAATACTGAAAACAGCCAGGTATTGGCATAAGAGCAGACAGGAGGACCAATGGAACTAAATCAAAGACCCAGATATTAATCCACACACCTTCGAACACCTGATTTTGACAAAGAAGCAAAAAAATCATATTTAAAAACAAAGTATATTTAACAAGTGGTGCTGGCATAACTGGATATCAACATGTAGAAGAATGAAAATAGAAAATAAACCCATATCTATCACCATGCATAAAACTCAAGTCCAAATGGATCAAAGTTGTCAACATAAAGCCAGCCACACTGAACCTTATAGAAGAGAAAGTGGGAAGTACACTAGAATACATTGACACAGGAGACCACTTCCTAAATACAACCCCAGCAGCACAGACACTGAGAGAAACAATTAATAAATGTGATCTCCTGAAACTGAAAAGCTGCTATAAAACAAATATACTGTGAACAAGGCAAAACAATATCCTACAGAATGGGAAAATATCTTCACTAACCCCACATCAGACAGAGGTCTGATATCCAAAATATACAAAGAACTCAAGAAATTGGTCATCAAAAGAACAAATAATCCAATAAAAAATGGATTTCAGACCTAAACAGACACAGAAAGACAATTATCACGTGTATTCATTCATAAGTGGGTTTTAAACATAAAACACAGAAAAAACAGCCCACAGATCACAATCCCAGAGAATTTAGACAGTGAGGACCCTAAGAGAGACTTACATAGATCTAATCTACATGCAAAGTAGGAAAAGACAAGATCTCCTGAGTACATTGGGAGCATGGGAACTTTGGGGGAGGTTTGAAAGGGAGGGGACACGCAAGGAGGGGAGCAGAAAAACATGTAGAGCTTAATAAAAATCAATTAAAAATAAAAACATATTGAGAAAAGGACAAAAAGAAGTACTTGCTTTGTCTTTTATTTCTGTGCCACTATTACAGTAGCAGGCCTGCAGGGTTCACAGCTAGGTATAATTAATGATTGATTTTACCCTCTGGTAGCATACGTAATACCTTCCAGAACTATGAAAGCTAGTTAACATGGATGGAGCTTTTAAATGTGAGCTGGAAAGATAGCTTAGTCTTTAAAGACTATGGCTCAGTTCAGTGACTGCTTTTCTATTATTTTACATTGAAACTCTTTTTATCATTGTTTACAGATATATTCTAGAAAATTCAAACACCTGTTTATTATTTCATTTAGTTTCAGCATCATCTTGATTACCATATTTGGGTTCATTTATATTTCTGATTGTTGTATTTTAAGGGGTTTTTCACTTTTAATTATGTGTATATTTGTCTGTGACTGTGTGTGAGTATTTGCATGTGAATGCATATTGAAGGGTTTTGGATTCTCTGGAACTGAAGTTATGTGTGGTTATGGGCCATCTAACATGGGTACTGTGAGCCAAACTCAGAATCCCTGGAAGAGCAGCAAATACTCTTAATCACTGGGCCATTTCTCCAGCTATTCTCGTTGATATATTTTAATTCTTTCAGGAAATATATAGACTTTATGATTCATTTTAGGTTTACTAATTGTTTTTCTATAAATATACATATTCTCATATCTGGTAGTTTTATTTATGATGCTATTATATTTACTTTGATACTATTTTATGAAAATTGCAAAGACAATACATAGGTAAAATAGTTTTAGAATTTTTAATAACTAAGAAAACGTTTTATTTTGTAGCTATACATTGACTTTAGACAAAATTATATTATCTTGTTCCAAAATACTTTTTCCTAAATTTATATCATTGCTTGTATTGCCTTCAATCATCCTTTCTTTAAAAATAAAATTCTATATTTACATTTGAAGAAAAAAGTAAGACAAAAAGAGAAGGAAATGTCATAAAGCCAATTCTATATAATCATATATGTCAATAAAAAAATTGCAGGAAAGAAGCCACCAAAGAACCTCTGTCTTGACACTAACAACTCATACAACAAAGCAATATCCTACTCTTAGAAACATTGGTGAATTAGTGTCTCAATGCAATCATTTCCCCTACAACTACCTGGAAATGACTAAACAGGACTTCTGTCTGTATCTCATTAATTCCATTCCATGTATACATACCCATTAAAACAACTTTAGATTTCACAAAGAGTTCATCTTGCATTTTAGAAAACAGCACAACATTGAAGGTATTTAATAATAAATATTGCTTCACCAGTATCAAATTTAAACTCCCTTTCTTTTTTCTTTGATGGTAAAGATACAAAATAAATTTTATTATATTAAACAAAAAAGACTTTTTAAAATGTTCTTACATTATACCACAAGCACACATGAAAAATTTTTGTTCAGCTCAATTAATGAAACGCAAAATGAATCTTCAGAGAAATCCATACTTGTACAATTCTAAAAAAATAATCTATTGCTATAATTCTTAAGTGGAATAGCTTATTGAATAAGTAATACTCTTCTCATTCCTAATTACCCTTAGTTAAGGTTCATTAATTTGATCCTCTACATAGGTTTGTAGTTTCTTTATTCATAAATACCAAAGCCTGTGCATTAGCATTTGTACACACACACACACACACACACACACTATATATATATATATATATATATATATATATATATATATATATATATTACTAAATGTAGGTGAGCGCAGCTCTAGTAGAATGCATGCCAGTCTTTTTAGGCCATCTTTAGCTGCTGGTGTTTTAGGTTGTATCTTTCTCACAATACCCAAGAAATATCATAAAGTACAACATTTACTCAGAAGAAATATCAAAGTTTTCATAACCACCAAAGCAATATGATATTTCTTCTATCCATTACACATCAAGGAATTTGAAACATAAAGTGTTAAACAATATCTTGTCAACACTGTTGAACCTGAATCAAATCAGAAAGATTGTGGAAGAGCAGTTGTTAATCTCCTTTCCCTAGTGTGTAAATTTAACATATGGAAGCTCTCTCAATTGGTAAAATTGAGAGTTTAAAAAATACTTCCATTAAAGTATCTTTCACTCAGTCATCTGATTTTTAAAATGGTAGTGTTTTGTGCTACATTTTCAACACCAGTGCAAGAACTTTATGTTCTAACTGTAAATGGTAATACATAGATTAAGCTCCAATCTATCAAAATTTAGGAACTCTAATAGTAATTTCATACGAACCAAAACCAAGCCTCAAGAACATTTTTCATTATTTATAGTATTAAAATGGGTTGATCAGGTAATTTCACTAGTTCAAAATAACATTAAAGGTACAACTTTTGGTAGTAAAGTAAGTAAATATCAGATCATGATACAACCTCTATGTTAGTCCAAGTTAGTTCAAGTATATAAGACACCAATATAAAATCAAAATAACATAAATTGGAAATACTATATCTGTATTCCTCATGTTTCTAATATTGCCAAGTATGATTGTTATGAGAAAAGTAATTTGAAATGGTGGATGTGTTAACACAACTGTAATGTTAGAACTGGAAGGATGAAAAGTGGAATTGTGAGTTAGAGAAAAGTCTGAGCTACATAGAAGACCCTTGGTTTGGGACAATGGTCTGTATTCTGTCAATCATATTTTAAATAAATGTTGTTTTGGCCAGTAGCCAGGAAGGAAGTATGGGCAGGACAACCAGACAGGAAGTAGAGGCAGGTCAATGAGAACAGGAGAATTCTGGGAAGAGGATTCTGCTTTCAGCAGTCCTGATCCAGCCACAGAGGAAGGAAGATATGACTGCCTTACCGAAAAAAAGGCACCAAGACACATGGCTAACATAGACAAGAATAATGGGCTAATAAAAATTGTAAGAGTTAATAAAAAGCCTGAGCTAATGGGCCAATCAGTTTATAAACAATGTAGGCCTCTGTGTGATTTCTTTGGAACTTAACGATTGTAGAAACTAGGCAGGACAGAAATCTCAATAAACAGACCCTATCTCAAAAGAAGATACTGTTATTAAAAGCACATGTGAACATGAAAATGATTCAGCTGTCTCTGGATTAATCTATACAGAAACTGTACAGAAACTTAGTAATGCTTGATCGACAGCTGTGGCGCCTCCATGAGACAGAACTTGGTCCTCAATATGTGGAAGACAGTAGTAAAGCTTGGATTATCTTTGTGTCCCCTGGCAGTAGAACCAGGATCCCTTTAGTATGAGCTAGCATGTTGGAGCCCATTCCTTATGGTGAGATGCCATGGTCAGTCTTAATGCAGTGGGAGGGAATTTACTGGTCCTGCCCGACTTAATGTGCCAGTCTTGGTTGGCTTCCCATGGGAGCCCTTACATATTGGGAGAAGTGGATAATAGGGATGAACTGGATGAGAGACGGGGGTGTGGGAGAAGGGGTAGGGGGAGAACTATGGCTAGAATATAAAATAAAATAACAACTAAATTTAATTTAAAAAGTATGACTACACATTCAATATAATATTAACATACATATAAGTAGATAGATCTGGATTTTAAATATTATCATGTCCTATACTGAATGTTTATAAATTATGTCCTAAATTGTTCTTATTACTTGATCCCAACATAAATTAGATTATCATGCAGACTTCTTACTTCATTTACAAA